GGCCTCTTCTCTCTACTTAGCGTCTCTTCCAGGCAACCAAAGGTGTAAAGGAATAAAACAGAATACCCTATAATATCAATACATGCAATAAAATAACATATAAATAACTAATACATTAAAAATATGATACACATATACATACGTATATACATAAACATACACACACACACACACACACATATATATATATATATATATATATATATATATATAATATAACTATATATATTATATATATATCCTCAAACAATAACATAAATAAATATATAATAAAATATAATAAATGTCCTAATGTTAGCAAACACAATATAATGAAAGGGATAATAATGTTTTATATAAAAATTACGTTTCACATTGTTTGTCCGTGATAAACTCTTAAATATATTTCAATGAAATTTTGCACAATGTTTGCAGTTTAATTCAACTTGAGAGATAGGATAGTTTTTATCCCGATAAGTGACCCTCAAAATATTTCTATTACGAAGTTAAGGATATTATATGGGAGAAAGGGTCGCTGGAGATAGATAGATACAACAACGTCTGCCTGGCTAGCTATAGCATATTTTGAATAAATAAATAATAAAAAAACAAGTTTACGTATAAGTAAAATTGTAAAGTAGCTTAAAAGTATACATACTAACATACTGACTAGTTAAGAAAAATTTCGTTTCTAAACTCGAGTGTTTCGGATTAGATAATTCGCACTGCAATTAGCCTGCGAAATAGTGACAATATGAAAATGCATTCATTGACCAAAGCTAATTAGTTTACAATCGCAGCTAGCGAAAAGTGTTGAATTAAATGTTGCAACTTACCTGGTACTGCACCAATAGCCGCTGGAGTTCTTGTAATTTCTTTATCATCTATGGTTGGTTCTTGTATGTCGTTTACCGCCGGTGGTTAGCGTCTAGATGGAAAAACGGAAAGGTTAGTACTTTTTTAATTACAGTTTAAATTAACTAATAGTTTATTGAATGATTCATCTTCATCTTGAGCCCATTAAAGTCCAATGATGAATATGGGCCCGTTGTGGGGAATATTTGCCTCAATTATAACGCTTTCTGACGTATTATGTAGTGGAATGCCGGCCCTTTATTAAAGAGCTTACTCCTTTCTACAGGGCCGGCAACGCACCTGCAATTCCCCTGGCGTTGCGGTTGATCATGGGCGGCGGTAGTCACTTAACATCAGGTGAGCCGGATGTTCGTTTGCCCCCTCTTCTATAAAAAGAAGTGGCGGTGTAAGAATATCCCCTACCCCACATTATCCCGCGGGTGTCGCAAGAGGCCACAGGGAAAACAAATCAGAAGATGTGTAGCAGCATATTTTATTAATAACGACTAGAAAAACTACCGTTATCAACCCGCTTGTCAACGTGGGAATAAAGACAAATATCTCGCCTATGAGGCAATCTATTGAAGAGACCTTTTAAGCTGTAGACATTTTTAGCTTGTAACGGTTACGGTAACTAAGGTAGAATACTTATGTGGAGCTAATTACACTTAAGTACCATTGTACATTCATAATCTTGCAAATAAATGTTACTATTATTCCTCTAGTTGTATATATCTCCGTGTGTTTTAATTAATCATAGCGCTCTTGATGCGGACTGCAGAAGGCAGCAGTAGACATCTTGCAACTCTACGCCGCCTATCGCCGATTTGAATACTTTTCGTCTGGAGTAAACAAGGATCTTCAAAAAAAGAGTTATACCTTTCTGAAGTTGCAGTTGTTCATGAGCGACGGTAGTCACTTACCATCAGGTGAGCCGCTTGCTCGTTTGCCCCCTCTTCTATAAAAGAAAAATAAGATATAACGCCATCTATCGAAAACATTTTTGGGTATTTTTCGTAGCCGCTCTCTGTTTGATGAAATAGGGCGATGAATTCTTTCTCTTGCAAGAATAGGAATTAATGGTGGACTAAATGACAACATGTGGGTTCACACACGGTATGTGTGAAACCTTCATAAAAGAAGAACGAGAATATAGCACACTGTATACTGTATTCTATCTCATTCCCTCGCAGGCTAAATCCTATAGATGTATTTGCTTGTCTCTTTTTAATATTTCTGTTTCGTTCAATGGATTTCAAATATACGGTCCATCTAATAGTGGCTCCGGCAGCCTATGGACACCTGCAACAGACATTATATCAAAAATGGTTCATTTTATAACGAGCAATTCGTGAAGACAGTACCGCGCCTCTCCCTACTAAGTAATTCTTCGATTTCGCAAGATCCCAAATGGAAATATTTAGGAGTGTTTTTTTAATAAAACTAAATGACAAATATATACTAAGTCCATCTGATGTTAACTGACTTCTGCAGTCTAAGAAAACTTCCAACCGTCTTAAAACAAAGACCACCACAAACAAAGGTCGCTTCTGAGGACTAACATGGAATGCCTCACAGCCTGTTACACTGGTTCCCTCTCCCACATATATGGATACCCAGACGGACTCTTAGGCAGCAAAAATCCTACCACCTAGAGTAAGTACATAGCACAAATAATTAATCCGTATCGGTTTTTGATTGAAATTAACACCAAAGAGCCACGATTTGGTTAAACGGTGCAGTTCAAAACAAAAATTATAACACTTATTTATTATAACGACAGGCAACTTCTAAGCACGCAACACGATTAAAATCACCTTTTAAAAATCTATAATACTATATAAATCATTTAAATACTAATTATAGCTAGATTAAGAACTAACTGGTGTTACCTGAGGTATTCTGGCGTACAACCCCAGTCGGCTTGCACGAGAATACTGTGAGTGACACGCCCTCGCCGATCGCATATTGATTTAAGTTTTATTTGGAGTTGCCAGCTCCCGTTTTACGGTTTAGAGGATGTAATAATATTAAATAAAGGATATAGGATGAAAAATAAAGGATATTATATTGTTTTTAATGAAATACTATTATTGTATAAGTAGCAATATTTGTATTAATATAAAAAGCAATGTTAGTATGCAACGTAACGTAGTTTGTCTTTCTAACATCGCGCGTCACCTCAAAGTGGTTTTGAAATTATTTGACCTCAATTAGCAGAGAAAATGTCAAAGAATAATTGTTTTCTATCAAGGATTTCAAATTAGGTCACAATAACATTTTTTGGGTCTGAAATAGAGACCGTCGTTTAAAATAAAAGACGTTTGGCAAGACTTGAGCTTGGAGAAATCAGCGCTGTTTAATCGATGTTAATATTGTGTTTACTGGAAAGTTCTATTTTGTTTATGTATCCTGTAACTTAAATTAACCAGAAAAGGTACACAGTTCAAATGTTTTATTATAGAAAAAATTAAACCAAAATGGTTATTATTATATCAAAGATTATATAAATGAAAAATCCCCGGGGTGATCGCCACCATGGTGGTTTTATAAAAATCAAAAAAAAATTAAAAAGTGTACAAAATATATTATTGTAAAGTGAAATATGTTTAAAAAAAAGTCACGTTGGGTTTCTTGCCGGTGGTTTTTATACGAACCAGTCGTAAATAGAAAAAATGACTTTCAATGATCTATATTCAGTAAAAATCCTTCATTTAATTCCATTTCATCGCGTCTGTTACAGCCTATTAAAAGCACTGCTTAACATAGGTCGCGCAGGATACTATTAATAATAATAATGTATCATTTCCTTTTGATTTTTCAAATATACATTTATAGAAGCGAACCAGATGAGAAAACTACATAGACACCCCAAAAAAAAACATATTTGCTATAGTTGGTTCGCTTGGCAGGCTTTTTTTGATTGATGACATAATTGAAGATAAATGTAGATGTCTATGGGCCACAGCATCCAGTTACTATCAGGTGGACTGTGTGCTCGTTTGTCAGCCTTATTCTATAAAAAATATAAATCGGCAACAGCATTTATTACTTTCAATTGTTATTATGAAGACTTTGCTACCCATCTCCGGTTTTGTTTCCCTCCGTGAGGCATTGCGCAATAATTTGTAATTTTTTTATTGTAGAGATTTTATACATAGTAGTGGAGCCATGCTGAGCTAACACGAATACGTCGGCTCGACCGGGGAAGGACCACGCTCTCACAGAATACAGGGCAAAATAGCAACTTAATGCTGCTTAATGTTTCGTGTGATGAGTGTTGAGAACCGGAAACACTTTTTACTGGAAACGAGGCATTCCGTCTTAGCCCTCTGTGGTGACAAGGCATCTGCGTTTTGATTCTAATTCGAGGATAGATGAAGATGCATATGGACGACCAAATCCGCTTCTCATCCGATAGATTGTTTGTTCATTTGTCACCCATCTTCAATAAAAAATCTAGGGAATACGCACTCTGTGTGTTGTTGCAATTTGTTTAATTTTATTTTCGGCAGTCAAGTAACATGAGGTCACATTTTGGAAGCAAGTAAAAGTCCGTAGGCCGCAAGTTTGGTGCGTACGGTGGATGAAGGAGAGCTTCCAACCTCAGCTCTTGTAACTTGGTGAACGTGTGGTGAACGGGGACGACTGATTGACCAAAGCTGATTGGAGCCATGCACGCTTCTCCATCATTGTGTTTAGCACTTCGCAGTACACATCTACAGTAATGCTCATCCCGTTTGGTGAGAAGCACAACGGTGCAATATCACCAAACAGTGACTATCACTTTTCTAGGGATGTTTTCTTATAGTTTATATTAGATATTGTTTAGGTGCTGAATCAGGATCCAACCACCATAATGAGCCCTTGTAATTGCCAACAGAATCAATTAAAAAAAATTAAAATTAGAATTCTTAGCCAAACAAAAATTATTTCGATTTGAAATGGCCACTACCGCAATACATCAATTTCATAGGTGAACCTATGTACCTATTACATTCATCTATGATAATAAACTGTGGTAATAGATAACAAATACATTTTGAAAATCATAATTAATTTTGACATGTATTGTCAACATGACATATTAAAAAATATTGATTGATTTTTAACTCGAAAACCCAAAAAGTTTGCAAAATTGATTGTAACATAATAAAATTGAAGAAATGCTCATTAAATCGAGATATAGCGTTAAGACGTAAGTATCAATTTACTGAATTGAATGTAATTGATACATGTTTTCGTATAGAGAGTAGTTTATAGTATAGTTTCGTATATTAGTAGTATATGGATAGTATACATACATTTCAATGTTATGCAAGTAATTGTGTTAATAAAAATTGTAAATCAATTTTTGAACTTGAATAGGACATTAGCCTAAGGTCACTTGTTTTTTTTATAGGATAGGGTGACAAACGAGCACACAGTTCACCTGATGGTAAGTGGTTGCTGTAGACAATAGACATCTACATCTATCCTCAATTACGAATCAAAATGCAGATGAGTTGTCACCCGTGAGGACTAAGATGGAATGCCTCATTTACAGTGAAAAAGGTCTCCGGTTCTATACACTCACCAGTCGAAACACAGGAGCATTAAGCTATTATTTGATGCTGGTATTCTGTGAGAGCGTGGTCCTTCCCCGGTCGAGCCGACCCATTCGTGCTACAATTACACTACAAAATTAACAGCAGTATGGCTCTACCACGTGAAAAAAGTAATATGATTCTGCATTATACCGTAAAATTACTGTCCCTAATTTTCATTTTTTAATATCCGATGTAGCGGACCACTCATTTTGTATGCAAGGTATGTGTTTTTATACACAGCTGTCAGTAATTTTACCGTCCGAAATTTTCATTTTGTCACTCCGGACTGAGTTTGTCAGCGTTGCCATTTGGTGCTAATAAAGACCTTAAACCGGTATTGTATATATCCAACGCGAAGCGGGTATGTAGAGTTGTATTGTTACCAAATTAAAAAATCGCGATCTACTCAAATCACTTCCACTAGCTTTATATTGCACTTATATATGTAGTAAAGAAGTGCCAATAGCAAGAAGAGATTTCAATTAATACTTCTGTAGTAGTAATAACATTATTTATTTCGATCATTATTAAAAAAAGCTCAGTGAATATAATTTTAATTGAATGTCAGCTAATTATTATGAATATGAACAAGATATCTTTCGAAACTTATCACTTTGATATTTTATTAGTTTTAGATATTATATTGAAAACCGTCTCATTCATTAATATTTGACAATTTTTTTCGGTAACAAAATATTAATCACCGGTATCAAGTAATCAAAAAAATTCCGTGTTATTTATACAGAAACTATTTTTGTAGCATTAAACGAATTACAAAATACGTATTTCGGTAATTATTAATAAAAGTAAATTGATTATTCAAAACCTTAGATGAGCGTTCGAAGTGTGCACTTTTGGAATTTTCAAAAAGGTATATATGCTGTTTTGTCAGATTAATCTTTAGTAACATTTCAAAATAAAATACACTTAAATATAGTATTTTAAAGTATTTTAATTTACATTTTAGTCAACTTCAGAAAAGAGGAATCCGAGTTCTTTTAAATTCTAATTTGACCATATGTATTTGTATGTATTTCACATAACATCTTTCATCATCGTCATCATCATTACAGCCCTTCAAAAGTCTACTGCTGAACATAGGCCTCCCCCAAGATATGCTACAAAGCACGGTCCTGAGCCTTCTTGCATGTCTTACCAGGTCGTCACTCCATCTAAAGGGGGATCGCCCTGCACTTCACCAACCGGTACGAGGCTGTCACTCGAGAACCTTTTTTCCCCAACGGTTGTCGGTTCTTCGAGCTATACGGCCGGCCCATTGCCACTTCAGCTTACTAATCCGTTGGGCTATATCGGTCACTCTGGTTCTACTGCAGATATCCTCATTTCTAAGTTTATCACGCAGAGAAACCCCGAGCATAGCCCTCTCCATAGCTCGCTCCATAGCGATATTGAGCGTCCTCATACGGCCATCAGTGAAGGACCAGGTCTCGGTTCCGTAGGTCATCACTGGCAACACGCACTCGTTGTACAACTTAGTTTTCACGTTTTGAGGTATACATTAAGGGAAGATGTGTCGTAATTTCCCGAACGCTGCCCAGCCGAGTTGAATCCGTCGATTGACCTCTCGGTCAAAGTTACGGACTTACCTAGTCGGACTATTTGTCCCAGGTAAACGTACTCGTCAACAACTTCGAGCTTAGTGCTCTCAACAATTACGGGCATAGGTGTGACATGGGCATTAAATATGATCTTTGTTTTGTCCATGTTCATTGAGCATAGTGCTTAAGTCCTCCAGCGATTCTGCCATAAGGACTATATCGTCGGCAAATCGAAGGTGAGTGATGTACTCGCCATTGATGTTAATACCGTATCCTTTCCATTCCAGTAGCATGAAAACGTCTTCCAATGCAGCGGTGAAGTTTCGGGGAAATAACGTCACCCTGTCTTACACCTTTCTGCAATTGAATAGGTTTCGTACTCTGGTTCTGTACTCGGATAGCCATTGTAGCTTTACTGTACAAACACTTCAGCACTTCGATATAACGACAGTCAACTTGGCACCACTGAAGAGACTGTAGCTTCGCCCAAATCTCGACGGATTCAAAGGCTTTCTCATAGTCCACATACGCCAAGCAAAGTGACATATTGTACTCTTAGGACTTCTGTACAATTTGCCGAAGGGTTTATACGATCTATGGTACTAAAGCCTTTTTGGAAAATGGCTTGTTCGGGAGGCTGGAAGTCGTCGAGTCAGCGTGCGAGACGGTTCGTAATGACTCTCAAAAACAGCACGTAGACGCGGCTCAGAAGGGATATCGGTCTGTAGTTCCTCAAGAGGGCGTTGTCACCTTTCTTAAAGGACAAGACCACCGCACTTCTGGTCCACGCCTCGGGAGTAGTGGCTCCATGGAGGACGGAATTAAAGAGCTTCTGAAGGACTTCAAGTACCGGTTTTCCACCCACTTTCAGAAGCTGCGCTGTAATTCCATCCTCGCCCGGAGACTTGCCGTTTTTAAGGCGCTGGAGAGTCATTCTAATCTCACTCAGACTGACGTCCGGGATATCATCAGAGTAGTGTCAAATAAGACTTGCTCTTGGAACGTTACTCACACTTGCGTGTGGCTCCAACAATGATGTGTACAGCTGCCCATAGAACCTCTCAATCTCACTTAGAATCTCAGGTGTCCCGGAAACGATGTTGCCACACTCAGTCTTCAGCTTTGACAGTTGGCTCTTCCTGGCAGACAGATCTCTGGCAAAGACTTTGGAGCCCTGGTTCCGCTCAATCGCTCTTTCAATACGAGCTGTATTGAAGTTGCGTAAGTCCTGCCGTATGCATTTGGAGATCTGTCTGTTCAGTTGCCTGTATGCTGTCAAATCTGCTGATGACTGCAGCTTCATCCCCCGTCTAACATCCATGAGATTAAGAGTGTGATCGGAGAGTTTTTGTGTTCTTCTGCGATGGACAGTTTCCACGAGCTTGTCATTCATCGTCCACTGTATTGCAGTCTTCTAGGCACTGAAAACGGTTTTGTAATTCGAGCTGAAAGTTTTCGGGACCCTGGATTAGCGCATGAGGGGGGTGGAGCGTTTACTTCACGTGTGTCTCTAACCATTCGGTGATTGCTGCCTGTTTTCACTCTCGCGATCACTGAGACATCACTGAACAGTTGGCGTCTGGTCGTCATAATGAAGTCGATCTCATTTTTTGTCGAACAGTTGGGGCTCGACCAGTTCCACTTCCTGTGGGGCCGCTTCTGAAAGAAAGAGTTCATCATAAAGAGTCCCTCTTTCTATATAAAGTCGGCCAGCTGCTGGCCCCTACGGTTCCGTTGCCGTACTCCAAATTTCTCTAACTTTAGCTCACCACTTTCTCTTGTGCCTAGTTTTGCGTTGAAGTTTGGTGTTAAGGCATTTGTGGTTTCAGGTTTCTACGGGCTACTGAAGCCATTCAGCATATAGTAGCCTGTTAGCTGGTTTGTAATTCAATGTTACAAAAATGCCTGCCTGTTGGCTCAAAGTGCGAAGATACCGTAATAAAAATTTAAAAACAAATTGAATTGAATGCCTCGTATTTAATTCCTAACCTAAATTTCATTTTATTTTAATATTCTAGAACTGTATGGTAATTTAACATTATGATTCATGATTGTCAATACTATACAAGTATAATAAATATTAATGTTTGATACAGTGTTAACAAAGAAGAGCAAACACGGGACGTGATCGATTTGGGTGCCCCCCGCTGCCCACGCATGCCTCGTGCGTGCCCCTTGCCCAACGCCAGACTGTGAGTTCTCTCTTAGGCTATTTATATACCAAATTATATCCTAAATGTATCAATACACAATTTAGCATACAAGTTAGCCACTAAAGCTTTTTTTATAGAAGAGATAATAACCGAGCAAGCAGACTACCTGATGGTAAGTGGATGCTGTGGCCCAAAGACATCTACATTTATCCTCGGTTAAGAATCAAAACGTAGATACGTTGTCACCTCTGAGGACTACGATGTAATGCCTCGTTTTCAGTAAAAAGGGGTCTCCGGATCTCTACACTTACCATACGAAACACCGCAGTATTAAGCTGCTATTTTACGCTAGTATTCTGTGAGAGCGTGGTCCTTCCCCGGTCGAGCCGACCCATTCGTGCTACAACCATAGCATAGCTGCAGCGTGGCTCTACCACGCATAAAAGCTCTCTTAAATTCGATTACGGCATATTCAGGCCCAAATCTTTTTTGGGTATATCATAAAATAATGCTACATATTTAAACAAGCAAAGAGGAGAGACACTTCTATCCGGTGTACTGTACATCTGAGTACATCATTGAAGCGAGCCCAAAAACCAATCAGTTATTATTTATAGACAAAAATGTTTCGAAAACGGAGTATTAAAACAAAAATTAGATCAGTACTATAACCACTAACGTATGTAGGTTTTATTAAATATCGAAAGCCTTCAAATCAAAGGAATTATAACATTCCAAGGGTACCTTAAATGTGCACAAAAAGAAAATCATATATGTATGGCAACGTTAAGGCGGGTAAAATAAAGTAAACATTCATAAACAGTGAGCGAGATTAGAATGGCTCTCCAGCACCTTAAAAACGGCAGGGCCCCAGGCGAGGATGGAATTACAGCAGAGCCCCTAAAAGCGGGTGGAACACCGGTACTTGAAGTCCTTCAGAAGCTCTTTAATTCCGTCCTCCATGGTGGCAATACTCCGGAGGCGTGGAACAGAAGTGCGGTGCTATTGTTCTTCAAGAAAGGCGACAACGCTCTCTTGAAGAACTACAGACCGATTTCCCTTCTGAGCCGCGTCTACGTGCTGTTTTCGAGAGTCATTACGAATCGTCTCGCACGCAGACTCGACGACTTCCAGCCTCCCGAACAAGCCATTTTCCAAAAAGGCTTTAGTACCATATACATACCCTGTGGCAGATTGTACAGAAGACCGAATAGTACAATCTGCCACTTTGCCTGGTGTATGTGGACTATGAGAAAGCCTTTGATTCCGTCGAAATTTGGGCGGTGCTACAGTCCCTTCAGCGGTGCCAAGTTGACTGTCGGTATATCGAAGTGCTGAAGTGTTTGTACAGTAGGGCTACGATGGCTATCCGAGTACAGAACCAGAGTACGAAACCTATCCAACTGCAGAGAGGTGTAAGACAGGGTGACATTATATCCCCGAAACTCTTCACCGCTGCATTGGAAGACGTTTTCAAGATACTGGACTGGAAAGGATACGGTATTAACATCAATGGCGAGTACATCACTCACCTTCGATTTGCCGACGACATAGTCCTTATGGCGGAATCGCTGGAGGACCTAAGCACTATGCTCAACGGCCTCAATGGTGTCTCCCAACGGATAGGTCTTAAGATGAACATGGACAAAACAAAAATCATGTTTAATGTGTACTTTACAAAACGTTTTGAAAAAGAAAGCATTTTAAATACGTCCGTGGGTGTATACGTTAAGATGCCTTTGCCTTTCCTATACGGGAAAATACTATGGAAAAGTTGTGCAAAACAAAAACTTAGCGTTACAGAGTTGATAGAATTTTTATCACAGATGATACTAATAATTCAATCATTACAGCTGATAATCCACTGCTTAACATAGGCCTTAAACTCATAGCGGGAGACGGGCCAATAAATCATGTATTTAACTTTCCTGTGAAGAAATTCTCAGGATCTGCCATGGACCTGCGCTTGATCTCCAGACGTGTCAGTTTGCCGTCCCATAGTCAAGACATTATTGTTACTAGTTATATTAAATATAGTATGTCAGTCTAGCAATTTTATTTCTTGCCTTTACAGATATCCTGGCCCCCAAGTGCAATCAAAAATAAAAACCTGCAAGGATGACAAACTCAGTAAAAGGCACACGAAAGTTAAGCCACGGAGACTGGCGCCTAATCCAAGGCTGTATCAGGCTCCTCCTCCACGTCCAATACCACCACCAACGCCCCCTTTGCACTCCCAAATAGTCTGGGCACCGCCTATCAAATCGACTGCCCTGGACACTGCTTCGTTGGCGGCTCTACGTCTGGCGGAGCTCCGTGCCTCAGCCCCCCATGCCGCTTCGCCTGTTAATCCTTTCGGAGTCACCGCGAAACATACCGGTGATAGCAAACACCGAAGAACACAGAAACATAAACTGCGCCGTGAGCCGCGGAGTAGTCAGAATCCTTTTAGAGATCAACTCGATGTCCTTAAACCAATGGCTCCAAGGCAGTGGAAGATGCATGAGAACAGAGCAACATATGCCGCGATCTAGTAAAAATAAACAGTAAAAGTAAAAAGTAAAAAATAAACACACTAAAGTATGTATTTCCGTTTACTTTAATTGGGCAACAGTTTGGAGTGTATATAAGTAAGCTATTATATATACTCAACCAACAGCATCATAAATCAGTGCAACCCGCAGAGGATCATAGCTAAATAAAGCATTAGACCAGTCATACTAAAGAATACCGCCCTGTCAAGCGGCCTGTTACCAGTGCCCTGTTTATCAAAATTTACAAGCCTTGTATTACAAGCAATTTTCCTGTAAAAAAATTAATAATTGCAAATATGTGTTTATCAAAACTGCACGTGTAAATTACAAGTTACAAGGGTCATTATTTATTTCACAAGTATATTTTTACACTTGTATTCGTGATTTTGTTTATCAAAAATCCCTTGTAAGTTACAATTTGTAGAAAATCATAGCAAATCCAAAGAGCGTCCAGCGACTCTCCATTCCGTCTTACAAGTGTTTTAAGTAGTACTGTAATATTTTTGACTTGATTAGTGACTCAAGCGATGATGAAATTATTAGAATAATGGAACCAAGAACACATAGAACAAGAATTGACTACGATCATATGGAGACGACCTATGAATTTAATGGAAGGTTTCGACTTTCGGTCGCGAACTTTTTCTTTTTGTCGCGAATCAGCTGTAAAATCGTTATTTTATTATCATTTCTAGACGTTTTGCAAGAAACCGCAAAATATCGCCGCGAATACACTTCAAATTATATATAATAGGCGGAAATACTTCGTCGCTACTACCTGTGCTACTACTTTTTTTAATGTCCCATCAAAATTAGGCACAGACGATACACCATACAGCCATGCGTTCAAATAAGGATATTCAATAAAAAGCAAAAACAAAATGGCGGGAAAAGAATGCGGCAAACATTTTTGATTTTAGAACTTACAAGTAGAACCTACAAGTGTTAAATTTTACAAGCCCTGTAGATTTTTTTGATAAACGTAATTTACTCGAACTTGTAAAAACTTTCTTGTAAAGTGTAACTTGTGAACAAGTAGACTTGTGAGTTTTGATAAACAGGGCACAGATCTAAAAAATAAAATGAGCCAGAGCCAGGTCTATAGATCTTAATTACCTAGCTATAACTTAAACGAAAACAATTAAACAACCGATAATGCCGGCCGTTTAGTTCACGCTGACACACCTTCAGTTCCATAATAAGATTTTTATCTATTTCCTCGCCCTTCGAGTGTGCTCTCTTAATTTTGTAACAGGCGATGTACAACACTGAGTTTAACACCTCCGCCTTAAACCCAGTTCGATATGGTGGTGAGATTTGTAAAATAAAATTCATTTCTTGTAAGAATTCTGGTGAAGTGTCATTTTAAAATTCGGTTTTTAAATATAAGCACCCTGGGTTCAGGTTTCTATTAAATGCATAGAGCATAAGGCCTCTGCCTCGAATATTGCGGCCAGCGGGACGGCAGCGGCGGCGGCGCGGGAGCGGCAGGAACTTATGCGTAAAATCAAATGGACCGACTCTCGAAAACAGCGGCTTTGTAGCGGCGCGGGGGCGGGCAACGAGCGGTGTACTCCAGTCAAGCGGTGACCGCCCGCGCGTCTGCATTGCAGAGCTGCGCAATTAATTTTTGTGACGTTTTGAAATGTCCTCGGACGTGCAAGAGAAAATTATTTCAGCAATTTTTGAGAGAACACCGATATGGAACAGCAAAGATGTGAACCATAAAAATAGAAGAGTAATTAACCAGTTATGAGAAGAAATTAAAAACGAACTGGATACAGACTCTAAATCGCCCTTGATAGCTTCAAGAATATAGTCAAAAGTTTCTACGCTCATTCTGGTGTAGTCGTAGAATTTGTCGGGACATTCTCTCTGTTCTTCGTAATTTCGATAAAACTCGCCTTTTCTTTTCCTTGCCCTATAAGTAGTAGGGATTCACTTCTTCTTTTGACCACAGTAAATCGAGCGTTAGAAATAAATTTGAATCAAAAAGATGTTGTCGCCGTTGTTCAGACATTTCATTCGCAAATAAAAGAAAACATCTCGACAACACAACCATGAACACATCACTACGCCGCTATAGTGTCGCACGATCTGCCCGCTAGTTTCGTGAACGGGTCTGCGTTGCCCGCCCCGATCCCGCGCCGCCGTCGCCGTCGCTCCGCTGCCCGCAAGATTCGAGGCAGAGGCCTAATACAGGTGGTAGATCCATGCTGCAGCTATATTTCTGGTATTGTACCGCGAACTGGGTGGCGAAACAATCGGCTCGGTCGGGTAACTACCACGCCTTTTGTAGAGGAGAGGGGGTAAACGAGCATGTGGCTCATCCGATGGTGAGTGTTGACCGCCTTCCATGAACAACTGCAGCACCAGGGGAATTGCAGGTGCGTTGCCGGCCTCTTAAAATTGAGTAAGCACACAGTATATCACACAGAATATCAGCGTTTAGAGAACCGGACACCTTTTTTACTGAAATCGAAGCATTTATTATATTATAGTCCTCATTGCCGTGTAGTGGAGGTGTGAGAATATCCACTACCCTATGTCACTGAGGGACACAAATCAGGAGATGGGCAGCAGCGTCTTCCTAATGACGACTAAAGTATAAAACTGCGGTTGCCAACTCGTTTGCCAATCGTGGCAAATACGGCAAATATCCCCCGTAGGAGTTAATTTAAGGGGGAGGCCTATTTTGGGCAGTGGTCTAAAACAGTCTGTAGCGGTAGTCCTCATTTGTGTCAACGCATTTATATTTCGATTTTTAAACGAGGCTCGACGAATAAGTCTGTGACACACCGCATTCAATAATTTTAGAACCATTTGTTAATAGAATATAATGGAATAGAATCATTTTTTATTCATTATAGATTACATGTAATCCTTATTGAAAGTTATTTTTTACTTTGCCACTGATTCGAAGAAATCTCTGATCTGGGAAGAACCAGCAATGAACCCAGCGTGACTTTTTTTAAATAAATTTTACAATGTGAATGGTTAAAGAATATTTAAAAAAATATTTTAAAAAGAGCTCTGAAGCGACCACTTTATTCTCAGGGATTATTATCAACCATAATCTTACTATTAATAATAATAATGTCTTCCAGACCGAATTTCTGTTAAGGCGTAAGATAGGATCATAGTGTATGTGCAAGCACAGGTGCACTCGCTATTTCCTCAGCCTCATAGTCCGATGGGACTACGAGAGTGACGGATACGACAAGAGAGAGATCAGGCGCAGGACCAACGGATTTACGTGCTCTCCAAGGCGCGGGGGTGAAATGCCGCCAACTTCCTGACTCCGAGCTGCTACCAACTATTGGGAATTTCTTGACCATGAAACCCAATAACTGATCTTGGCCTGACGCGGGATGCGAATGCGGGACCTCCTGATCAGCAATTACGTTTACCACTAGACTAACGAGGCAGTCAAAAGTTATAAAGGCTTGAATCAAAAAACGAAAGCAAGTTTCTAGAGAACGACACGAAAATACCATTTCAAAACTAAAAAAGTTAGAGAAAAAGTTTGGAAAAAAATATCTCGCCAGGCTGCAATTTGTCGGCGAGCACAAGCTCTTAAACCTATATATTAGTAGCTGACGAGGCAGATGCTGTTCTGCCGTCTCCGACTACTACTTTTCCTAGACAAAATTCTTTAATTCGTAATAAAAAATATCGAAATCACTTATCGGGATAGAAACTATCCTATCTCTCAAGTTGGACCAAACTGCACACGGTGTGCAAATTTGATTAAAATCGATTAAGTAGTTTAGGAGTCCATCGCGGAAAAACAACGTGACACGTAATGTATATATATTAAGATAAAGAATGTGCACCTCCATCTCTACCTAAAAATACAATTAACTATAAAACAATAAAAAAACAACGTGTACTTATAACTCAATTACTTTAGCGAGTATTTTGTTATTACTTTGCATAATTTATTTTTAATTTAGAGGCGTTTCTCTTAACCATCTTATTACGTTATAAATTCTGGGTACAATGAATTTATTCAAACGCTGTCCACAGTAATTAGTCGCACTAGGCTCTTCCAGTTTTTCCCTTACCTTACTCGTAATATATGGAATAGAATATTTTAATTCAATATAGATAATAAATAAATCTTTCTAGAAAATATCTCAGATCAAGGAAGAACTAGTTAGAGACCAACGGTACTTTTTTTGAAAGAATCAGCAAAAGTTTTTTTTTTTATAGAATAGGGTGATAAACGAGCACACAGTCCACCCGATGGTAAGTGGTTGCTGCGGCCCATAGACATCTACATCTATCCTCCATTAAAAATCAAAATGCAGATGCGTTGTCACCCGTGAGGACTTAGATGGACTGCCTCGTTTCCAGTAAAAAGGGTCTCCGGTTCTCTACACTCACCATACGAAATACAGCAGCATTAAGCTACTATTTCACGCTGGTATTCTGTGAGAGCGTGGTCCTTCCCCGGTCGAGCCGACCCATTCGTGCTACAACTATACTACTAATATAACTGCAGCATGGCTCTACCACGTAAAGTAAAGTAAAGGAACAGTTTTCACAAATATTAACAACACAATACAAATTAAAAAAAAAGTGGTAGCGATCACCTCATTCCCAGGGGTTGTTATCACATATTAAGGTGCGTTGGGTTAATATCGGACGGATTTTCGACTAGTTGAAAGAGTCTGGCAAAAACTCTATTTTCTCGACATCCATATAAATTTATATATAATACTTTTGTAGAATTAATATATAATACTTTTGTAAGCTCAGTGGTGTCTGCTTAAAACGTGTGCGAAGACAAAACATAATCTCTATATACATGATGAAGAAAGTCCATCAGGGGATGGGACCAGACGTAAATTTAAATCCACTTCTACTGCTCAGAAAAATAAGTTCATAAAAGTTTTGAAAATCCAAAAGTGCACGCCACATAATCTCATTTGATTAAGGGGCATACTGAAAAGATCGGGAATAAGAAAACCACATGCATGGTATAGCTAAATTGT